CTCAAATTAATTAGGATTTTTAATCTGTTTTCGAACATTAGATGCAATATTTATAATATATTTATATAAGTAAAATAAAATATGCATTTATGATATATCAATGCTAAAAATGTATAAATATTTGCTTGATTAGTAATAGTAAGTATACAAGCTAACTTATTATAATTATGAAAATGATTCTAATGTCAAAAAGAAACCATATTTTTACTCTTCTTAAAGAAGATTACTCCAGCTATACTATTGTTTTTTGTGAAAAAGTAAGCTATAGTATGGTCTTAAGAATAAAAAATTTAAAGAAACAAACTGGTTGCTTGGATGTTTTACCAAGGCCAGACCACCTCAGAATACTTTTCACCTATCACAAAAGAAAAATAACCAGAGAATTTAGATTAGGTATATGCTAAACTGTTGTCCAAGCCCAAAAAAATTAATATCTGATGAAGGTGTTTGTGTTTCCACAAATACAATCTACCATGCATTATAGAGACAAGGTCTTGAATCTCAGATAAAAAAAAAATCTATACTTTTACTATAGACCAAAAAATTGCAAAGAGAATTTGCAAAATAATATTACCTTTGAACTGTCGAGGATTGGTGAAAGGTGATTTTTTCAGACGAATCAAAGTTTAAGATTTATAGTTCAGATGGAAGAGAATGGTGTTAGAAAGACACAAATTCGCTATTGTTACTGCAATACATAAAGCCGATAGTAAAATATGGTGGAGGTTCATAATAGTATAGGGCTATATAGGTATATATAGTGTTAGAAACTATTGTAGAATTGAAGAAAATATGAATAAGAAGTTATATCATGAAATTCTAAAAGATGAGTTAATTGAGACATTGCGGGCATAGCGTTTGACAAATAATGATTTTATTTTCCAACATGATAATGACCACAAACATACATCAGATATAGTTATCAGCTGGTTGGATAAAAAGAAATCGAAGTTTTGAATTGGCCACCATACTCCCCCAATCTAAATCCTATAGAGCATTTATAGGATGAAGTTAATTGTCGTTTGTAGCAACTTTCTGTTAATATTTCTAGTAAAATGGACTTGTGGAATAAGATCCAAAAGGTATAGAATGAGATCAATGACAATTACATTTTAAAGCTAATCTACACAATGCTTCAACAAATTAAGAATATGCTTAAAGCTAAAGGGGGTATACCAAATGGTAAATTTTAGAAAAAAAAATTTTAATTTACTTAAAATAAATTAAAAAAAATTTATGTAATTAATTTTTTTGGCTTTGCACAAAAATTGTTGTTCTATAAAGTTTGTAGAAATTTAAATTTTTTCAAAAAAATAATAAATATTTTTTTGCAAAATTATAAAATTTAATAAAGAAGGTTAAGAGCTTTATACTATTGAAGTTTATTAGTTATTTGTTTTACAGAATGCGAAATATCATGCTTTAAAAATTTTAAATATAGTGAAACAATAATTATGGGAGTCAGTGTAATAATGTTTCAAAGTAATATCTTTATTTATTTAATATTGATTATTGCATACATAATTTTTTTATTAGTCGATCAAGAGAACATAAATTGCTAACTTGTCTAATGTAATAATACAATATACCATACAACTGACTATGGTTCTCTGCTATAATATCCATAGAAAAGACCTGAATTCAATTTATGGAATCACTATTATATTATCACTGTTTTCAAAATAGTTGATAATTTTTTTTTTAGCATATACTCATATACTCGATTACCTTAGCACATTGATTGAACAATTACACATCGATCTTCAATCAACTTGCTAAGGTATTGAGTGTATGAGTATACGCTAAAAAAAAAAATTATTTGTTATTTTAACCAAAAAAAGCAATAATCTTTATTAAAAATTTGCGGTATCTAAAATACAGTGGGTACTATATTATTATAGACACTTTTTGGGCAACCATTGCTCAAAATTGGGTAAGTAAACGCAGCATGAAATTTAGGTTATGTAATCGGCTGATCTTAATATAAAACTCACTAAAATTTTATACAGTTTCGTTGCATTGCGCAGAAGTTATGCAAGAAACTCTAAAAATTTGATTTCTTTATTTATACGAAAAGCAAAATTTTACATTTTCTCTTATTTTTTTTTTACATTTTTTTATAAAAAAAAAAAAACTAACTATATTCTAATAATTCGGTGGGTCCTCCCCTAGCTGCTATACAAGCCTCAACCTGATTGGAGACACTGGCAACCAATCTACAGCAAAGTTCTGGTGGTGTTTCATTCCATGATTTTTTAACAAAATCATCCAGCTCTGCAAGATTATCTGGCCTTTTCTTATGGCATACAGAACATTTATCTCGGCCCACAGGTTTTCAATCGAATTAAGATCCGAACTTTGCGGTAGCCACTCCAACACACGAATTTGGTGTTTCTTCAAGTATTGTAGAACCATCCCATTAATATAAGGTCTTGTATTATCCTGGATGAAGATTGGGCGACCTCAATCATTGTTTGCTGGAAATTTTTTTATAGTGAGGATGGCATATTTCCGGAGGATTTCAAGGTGTGACTTACCATTGGCATTGGATTTTAAAGGAATAAGAGGCCCGACTCCAAACCAAGAGAAGCCCCAATATATATGGCCAAAACTACGCTCTACACTAGTACCAACACAATCGGCTTTACATTTTTTATTTGGTTCACACCACACACGGCTAGAGGAACCTAAAAAAAGATGTACATAGGTTTCGTCTGACCACAACATACGCTTAAAGTGCCAAATAGACCACTCCTGATGTTCAAGCACCTATTTGTATCTTTTTACCATATTCTCGGCTGAGATAAAAGGCTTTGTGGGGATGATGCATAAGAACAAGTTCAGACTGTGCAAAGAATGACGCATAGTGCTTTTAGAAATTTTTTTCACTTTGGTAATTATGAAGGTTGATTATTTGCAGAAAGTTGAGACGGTAGTTGCTGTCTGTAACTAAATTTTTTAGGTTTTCATAATCCAAGAGGTTTAGAGTTTTCAGATAACCAGTCCTTTTTTTTTTTTTGTTGCTCTTCTGTATCCAAAGCACTGTGTTTCTTTATGACGTTCCACACGGAACTTTTACAACAACCAGCCACAGCTGCAATTGTACAAAGCGAATCACCTCTTTGGTGTTTATAAATTATGGCTCCCCATTGGTATTCTGTTAAATCCTTCTTTACGCACATTTTTCGTGAAAAAAAAATTAAGATACACTTTTTTTTTTGTTTATGCTGATTTGTCATACAAATAGGCTTTTTTTATATCGCACAACGTGATCTGGGTGTTACGCTACATTTGAGCGAAATTTGAGACGGTTTGAACAAAAATTTGATTTTTTGTGAATTTTTTTTTTAAAAAAAAAATTCACAAAATTGATTTTTGTACAAATCCAAAAATGGTACTTTGTACTACTTTTTGCATAACTTCTGTGCTATGCAACTAAACTTTATGAAATTTTAGTAGGTTTTACTGTGAGATTGGCCGATTACATGATCTGACTTTGTGCTACGTTTACTTACCCAATTTTGAGCGATGGCCGCCCAAAAAGTGTCCATAATAATATGATACCCCACAGTAGTTTATGCTATATAACAATAGCTTATTTTGAAGGAATACGATACATAATGTTTAAAAAATTCATTTTTAATAGTATTAAAAATGAAAAAAAAGCTTATAAAGTAATTAATTTCAAATATTCATAGGATATGTAGATACATACATGTAAAATAGCATTTATTATTAAACTTATCAGTTATTAATACAATATAAACAAAAATATATTATTTGTTATTATTGACAGACCATATTCAAGTATTAAACCCAGATCATCTTGTATTATAAGCTTATTTATATTCAAATTAAATCGTAATAAAAGTCTATTAGGTTTAACAGTCTTAAAAAAATGATTCCAATTACTTCATTTCACAATATAATTTGGTATGGTTCAATAAATGATAAGCAGATATGGTTTTCTAAGCAAAGTTCTTCAGGATTTTGATCTTTTTTTGATTCTTTTGCACAATAAACTTTAGTACTTTGTTGAAGCCATAAACGATGTTTACCGTGATTTTTGATTAGTAAACTGTTGCACTCTTAAAAAATCCTTTAAGATGTATAAATGATCCGGCAATAGATTTATACTAGCCTATTAAACAAATTTCTATAAGAACAGCACATGTGTTCAAACTAGAGTTTGGAACCGGTTTTATTTTGCATATGTTAAAACCGGTTTTAATCGGTTTTTACACGAGTGTCGCTAAAAGAAAACTCGACAATTTAAATATAAATCATATTTAAATTTTCGGGTTTTCTTTTAGCGACGCTCACATATGAAAAATAAAACCGGCTCCAAACTCTAGTTCAAACAAACCAAAATAGAGAATCTTGGAACACTAATTAAAATAATAAGATTTTATATATTGTCTCTATCATCTAATTCTAAATAGGTTTGCATTATACAAGATGTTACATATAAGTGCTATGTACAGTATTAGTAATAGACTATTTGTTATAATGCAGATGATTGACTAGTGTTGTAATCGATACAGATTTATCGACTCGACTAAGTTGATATTTAAAAATCGATTAAATCGGTCAATTACTCGTTCTATATTTCCAGTATTCATATTCTTTTTTCCGAATTTTCCTGTGGTGATCTCACCACCTCTCATTTTTAGAGTTAGGGCGCAGTTTTAAGGTAACGTAAGGTCAGATATAAATGTTCAAATTTTAATTAGAATTAGGTTCTGAACATTCTTGCTTAGTATTCCCGACGTGAATTAGCTAGTAAGCTTTTGAGATATAGCATCTCGGTGATAATCACCATCGGTTATAGTTAGTAATATTCAACTCGACTAAGCCGAAGTCGATTTTTATCAACTGACGTCAATCTACTACAAAAAAACACTAAGAAACAAAATTATAATAAAACTCTATAACTTACGGAAATAATATGCTATTTGGTATGAATACTTTATTAATTTCTATTTAAATATTATAATATCTTAAGACCTTGAGTTTAAAATCTTATCTTCTTGACTATATCTTAAAAATTGTTTATAAACAGGATTTTCAGTTTCATTAATAGCATGATATCCAAGTTGATTCTTAAAATTCTCGAACGCTTCTGAATCTTGAGGCGGTACTTGAATTCCAACTAATACTTTCCCTATATCTATTTTATCAACACCGTGAATAGTAGTGGAATAGTTATCATTAAAAACAATATCTTCATTATCGAGTAAATTAATGCTCGTTTCATTATCGTTATCACTAACACCAGATGATGCTGTTGATGACGACATGCTTTCAATCGCGAATCGAGTTGATTGCGGATCTTCGTTGGCCGGTTTATATTTTAACGTACCTGAACCATGGTTACGATAATGAAACAATGAAATGTTCCAATCTGAACGAAGTCCCGAAAGAAATTTTTTTAATGCCCCTGGTCGCTCAGGAAATTCTTTATAGGATTTCATAATTAATATTCGTCTATTAAGACAGTTTAAATAATAAATTCAAACTTACCAAACCGATATAATTGTTCGTTTTCAACTTTACTTCTTCCACCGACCAGGTACCTCGCGTGACTTTTAGCCATTTCATTATCGCTAATATCCTGAGCGTAAAACCCATTAGCTTCTAATTTTTCTAAAACAGAAGGAAGGTCTTTCTCACGATCGTCAACTTCAAATGACATGTAAATCCACGCTTTTTCAGGATCAGAGTATCTGTTGCGAATATTAATAAACTAATAAAAAGCAGCACAAATTTAAAACAAATTGCACATTATTTTACCTATATGAAAATTCTGTTATTTGACGCGGGTACATATTGTCACATAGTCGGACAAAGCTAGTTTGTAATAAAAACAACAAATCATATATAATAAATTACAAAAATTATATTAAATAAATATATTAATATGAGTTATTTAATATATATATTTTAAGCAACAAAATAATTCATGAATTATTACCTTCCAGGACGTTCAGGTATAATCACCGAAAACAATGCTTCACTACGTTCACCCAATTTAGCACGCTCAGCAACAAATCTTAAACGTTCAAAATTCATATTTGCACCTGATGTAACAACAACAAAGCAACCATCTGTAATATTATTTTCAGCAACGTATTTTTTAACACCTGCTACAGAAAGTGCACCAGCTGGTTCAACGATAGATCTGGTATCTATATGAATAAAATTTTGTGAGTTTAATTCAAAAAATAAAAATAATGAATATTAAAAAAATTATACCTTCAAAAATATCCTTAATAGCAGCACAAATTTCATCATTGGTAACGTTAATAACCTCATCCACTACTTCACTACACACTCTAAAAGTTTCCTCGCCAACAACTCTAACAGCAGCACCATCAGCAAACAATCCAACTTCATCAAGTGTAACTCGTCTTTTTTCCTTCAACGACAGAGTCATCGCATTAGAATCATAAGTTTCAACACCAATGATTTTAATCTTGGGACATATCCTTTTCACATAACTACCGATACCCGAGATCAGGCCACCACCACCAACACACGCAAATATGGCATCAATTTCATTTAAATTATGTTGACGAAGAATCTCCATAGCTATAGTTCCTTGACCAGCTATAACATATGGATCATCGTATGGAGGAATGTTGGTGAGATGACGAAGTTTAGCTAAACGAGCACATTCTTCTTTAGCTTCATCAAAATCACTTCCAAATAGGACAACTTCGGCACCTAAACGTTTCACATTTCGCCATTTTATTTCTGGAGTGGCACTGACATTCTCAAAATATAATAAACAAATTTAGATCATTTGTAAAATTCTGAAAACGATAATCTGTGATCACTTGTTTTTTTTTTAACATATAGCTACAATAGGAAAACAAGCGGCCACAAATGGCAATGGTTGCACGTGACTCTTGACATAAATAAAATTTTTCGTACAGTGGCATTACGATAGTCGCGGGAAGACCGAGATGCTTTGCTGACATTGCAACACCTTGCGCATGATTTCCTTTAATCATAACCAAAATATTCAATTAAAAAATTATTAACAATTTGAATAGATATAATTGATTAGGCAATTATGTAATCAAGCATACCAGCAGAGCAAGCAATGACACCTCTTTTTCTTTCCTCTTCAGTCAAATGAGCAATCTTATTATATGCACCTCTAATCTTGAAAGAAAAAACTTCCTGCAAATCTTCTCTTTTTAATAAAATTTTACTATCAAGTTTTGCAGAAAGATTTGCAGCCAACTGTAAGGGAGTCTCCTTAACAATTTCGTAAACTCTTGCAGTAAGCACCAATCGTAGATAATCAGGATTTGACAACTCGGTTGTGGAAGTTAAATGAGGAGAGGGCTGTAATGTCGTAGTTGCCACAAGGGATTTTCCCGTTGGGAATGGATATGAATTTAGAGAATAACCATCTTGAGGACTACTAGTTTGATCCATGATTGAAAAGATTAGATGAATAAAAATTTTTATGATAAATTAGAATAAAAGACTTGATCCTATTGGGTAGATCCCTATTGCCAACAAAATTTTTACCATCACGTGATGTCCGACAAAATTCTTTAAGTTCGTTTATGTTAAGGTTAGGGCCTATTTTAGTGTTAGAGTTAAAGGTTCTAACAGTAAAATCGCTCAAGAAAAACTTTTTATTAATGCGTAGGAGGTGGTTTCCTATGCAGATTTTGAGATACAAGCGATTTTTGACAAAACGAACGTTTTTTCTGATCGCGTGACGTTACACCAAATCAAGATTCATTATTGGCTTATTTCGTCGATCATCACGTGATGGTAAAAATTACATAGAAATTATAGAAATTTTGTTGGCGATCCTGGGGTAGTTATAATTATTATCATGATTATCATGTGATACATCTTCGATATAAAATCAAGGATTCTCAAACTACTAAGACCTCCTCTTTCCTTAGCTGTATAAAGCGAATATGGTGGGTAAATTTTGCAACACCTAACGAATTTTAAAGATGATAACAAAGTTAGAATGGAATCGTTGAATGGATTGAATTGATATTTTTACTACTCAATAACGGATCAGGCTGACGATCATGATGCTGCCGTTGAACTGAAGAAAAAAAGAACTTTTAAAAAGTTTTCTTATCGAGGTATTGATCTCGAACAACTTTTGGATTTAAATTCGGAGCAGGTAAAATTTTGTCGATTTCGGTTAACTTTATTATAACCAAATAATTAATATTCAATATAATAATTCTTAAAATATAGCTAACGGACCTTGTTCATGCTAGAGCAAGAAGAAGATTTCAACGTGGCTTAAAACGCAAACCAATGGGATTAATTAAAAAGCTACGTAAAGCAAAAAAAGATGCACCTCAAGGTGATAAACCAGCAGTCGTTAAAACTCACTTGCGTGATATGATTATTGTACCGGAAATGATTGGATCTGTAATTGGTGTTTATAATGGTAAAACTTTTAATCAAGTTGAAATCAAGGTAATATTTTATATAAATATTTTATATAAATGTTATTATATCTACACATATTATGATATTATATTAATACATGTTATGATATTATATTATATTAATACATGTTATGATATTTAACATATATTTTATACTATCTAATGTCTCGTTATCGCTGCATGATGGAAATTAATAGCCTGAAATGATCGGCCATTATCTCGCCGAATTTTCCATTTCTTACAAACCCGTTAAACACGGTCGTCCTGGTACAGTAAAAGATATATATTGTCATTTTTAGAATTTATTATATACGTTTAACTTTCGAATTCTTTATATTCTTTATAATAGGTATTGGTGCCACTCACTCTTCAAGATTCATTCCATTAAAATAATCAAAATTAATAGTATTATATTTAGATTAGTTACAATGTCGAATAAATGTGTTGTTAAATGAGTGAAAATTGGTGAAAATAATATAAATACATTACAAATTCGTAATGTTAATGTAGTGGACGTGCAAATAAAGAATTTTGCTAATAAATTAATTTTGATTATTTCACATCGATTATATTACGTATATGCAAATAATAAATAATTGTAGCATGCGAACCATTTAATACGTACTAAACTATCGGTAGTTCATAATAGTTCACATTTTTGTGATTAATGGTTGTTAATTGGAATATAAAAAAAGCAAACCCCATTATCTGATTTAGGTTGTTCTCAAGCAGCTCCCTCGATGTAATTTGCAAGTGATCGAGATGCTGCTCAATCATTTCGATTAATCGAAATTAATTGAAGTGATCCCTGTAACAATTTTGCCGAAAATTCATTGTGCGAAATATGGATTTTAAATTTCAGCCAATCGGAGTAACTCTATGAAAAAAAAAGATGGTTGTTAGCTCCAGGTTTTTTTGATCGAAATGATTAAACACGATTTATTTTTTCAGCCAATCGGATCACTTTATCGATCATAGAGTGAGGTGCTTGAGAACAACCTTAATTGATTTACAAAAGAAACAAACTAATATTTCCGAAATTAAAAATAATTTATTTATTTTTTATCCAGGTCAAGGTTCAATATTACCGTAAAATACAATAAATTCTTAGATTCATATGATTAAATCACACTCTTATATAATATTGTTGAGCCAAAAGAAACAAATCTGATATGAAAATATCAATTTAAATAAACTGAAAAAGCTATAATGGACCAAGTTTAAAATGAATAAATAACAAATGCTGAAAGATATTGAATTGCTAAATTATAATCAAAAAAATTGCTAAATAATATTCGATTAATAAAAGTAATAAAAAGTAATAAAATTACAATATAGTATATTAAATCGTGTCTCTTATATATAATTAAATTAAAAATTTTATGATGCCATTACATGGGTTTATTCGGAATCAGAGGGAGGAACTGAAGCTCTAACACCAATTCTCATTCCAACTTTTACCAATGTTTCAATGCTTGCCATAGAATTTGACACTAAATCATTGTCAAATTTAATCTCTCCCTTTGGCCATAAGCATATTATGGTACTTCCACCATAGGCAAAATAACCTAATTCATCACCTTTAAAAACTTGATCACCCTCTTTTAATGTGTACTTGATTGAACCAACCAAAAGAGCACCAATGGCGATGAACACCACTTTGGATGCGCCCGGCATGGATGGGTGAAGAAGAAGCATAGATCGAACGTTTTCTGTAAATACGTTAAGATCTTCATTGACAGCCATAGGGTTCACTTTTAGGAAAGGTTCAAAATTATTAAATTAATAATATCATTAAAATAATATTTAATTTCATGTATGCGATGGATGAATAAGAATTTCATACCAGTATAATAAGTGCCATTAACATATTTCGATGATCCAACCACACCAGTAACTGGAGAATGAAATCGATGATAATCTTGAGGTGCCAAACGAAATATTGCAATGGAACCTTCGTCGAATTCCTTAGCCTAAATATGTGTACATTTATGGTAAAATCCTTGAAACATCCGCTATTAAAAAATTAAATATATACAAACTCATACCATTTCATTATCTTGAAGGAGGTCGGCAACAGTAAACTGTTTTCCCTTGATCCTAATAATAATTCATAAAAAAAGTAATTGTATATTTGTTAATCTTCGATATAATTGTGTCGGACCCTCACTATAGCGGAGTAAAAACAATTTAAACTGTTTATTTATAGTATTTTACTAAATTGTATAGAATGCTATAGCAGAGATTCAATTATTCCAGTCTAACAGATTTGCTATAGCAAAGGATATGCAAAAAAAAAATTTTTTTACCAGTATTTTTTCGCTAGATCAATATTCTCATAAACGTTAAGCCTACAATCCGCAGCCGAAACAAAAATATTATCATTACCAGGATCAGCAATGGTTCTGGCGTTGGGCTTCAATTTTCTATAAAAAAAGTCATTGAAGGACTTGTATTTGCTTATGTCTGGTTCTAGTAATTCATCAGTTTTAAGATGATAGAGTTTAATAAAGCTAGGGATTTTGTTGGCAGAGTGTGGTGAATCAAAATATTTTCCTTGACGTTTTGATTCAGCTTCAAAAAGCTGTTTGATAGCTGATATTTCGACGACTAATCATTTAGGCATATAAAATTAATTAGAAAACTTTTTAACATATGAGTAACAAAAAGGGAAAACCTGTAAATCATTTCACTCAATGAGTGAAATGATTTACAGGTTTTCCCTTTTCGTCACTCATATAATAGTAATTTATGATAATTGGTACCTTTTTCTTCCAATTTTCCAGAAAATAATAAATGCATCCCGATCCTAGCATAGATTGGCATTTCCTCCCATATCTTTTCGCCCGTCTGAAGAAAATCATTATAGTCAGTAATTGATTAAATTTTTAACATATGATTTTCACATATGCGTGACTTACTTCACGAACGATCACATAATTTCCAAAATGCATCCTAGCCGCCCAGAATTTCAATGGTGGTATTAATTGGTAAAGTGAAAAAAGGTAAGGATGCATCCAAGTTTTATCTGGCGGCGTCAAATTTGAAGGAGCATAAATGCTTTCACCAGCTTTAAAAAAAGGTATCGTGAGAAATCATAAATTAGGTGAAATCATGTTTACACATTTATAATTTCAAAAAAAAAAAAATTCCAACCATCTTTCTCGGCAGTATGGGAAATCACGGTTTTCAATGCCTATAATGAAACAATAGATATTTAAAATTTAGAGAAATAAATTCTTGGGACGTCTATTTCTAATTTACTATCTCCACCATGTTTTCACGTGATTTATGGATGAAAATAGCAGAATTTTGATTTTAAAATAATTACATGTTTTAAAGAATGATGATCAGATTTGATATAATATCCCTTAATAGAATTTAGATCCACTGCAACCTTATCATGGTCTGTATCGATGTTTATTTCAAGGACTGAATTATCCATGATTTTATTATTATATAATTAGAGATGAAAATTATGATTTGGAAAAAAGAATAATTACAAGTTTATAGCATACAGTCGACGAGAAGATCAACTCATTTTATAAGAATTTGCACATTCTCCCCTGAAATGAACTTCCCAAATTAGAATAAATTTTAAATTGCACCACAAATAAGTAATCACATGTATAATTTAGTGATCGACAAGATTATTTGTTTTAGCGGTAGAGCTGAACCAAACTGAGTATAAACCTTAACTCTATACTTTAACGCTAACGTTAAGCGGAAAGGATAAACTTTTGAAGCATGTAAACATCGTTTATCGTTATATATAGTTTAAATAAATATTTTATCATTGCTGATGCTGAAAATAGCTAGTAAATTAACTGATCGACCAGTTATGTGCATTAGTTTTATCTTTATCCAAGCTAGTGTATTAGATATGGCATTAATTTTTTTTTCTTTCTGCATACAACTGACTACGTCACACGGAAATGAAATTCCTGCTGTCTCACAATCATACATAGTATACAATCCGTCACAGCTGTAAGATGATGTAAAAGATTTGCGTGAATAGAATATCTATATTGAATTGATCAACAAAATATGGTTAATGAAGTCGGTAAAGTTGGTCTTTTAGTGTATAAGCCTGGTACCGTATAACAAAAATGCCAAGACAAATTAAAATAATGATCCCGGGTATTGTATGAAGAGAAGATACTATATAAGGGTGGTATACTGAAGAAAATATTATAGAGTCACGATCATTTCTCGGAATGGCGAAAGGCGAAGCCTAGGCTCAAAAAAGACGAAAGACGAACCCCGGCGCGAAACCTTAATGACGCCAATGATGTAAGATATGCAATAAAAGATGACCATTGGCGTAAGACGATGCTTCTAAAAAGTACGTACAAAACTTCTTGAGAAAGAATAAAGTGCCAGCTCATGATCTCCAACCATTTGAACTTAAATTCAAACCATATGTATAAACGTTTTTCCTTTAATATATAGTAAAGTCGTGGCGATCTTTGACGATCAAATTATTAAGCCACTTTTTTAAATGACCAACTCACTAGCCAATAAATAAAAGACCGCAAAATGCATTCCAATTAACGTTAATATTCTAATATTGACTTTCAACGATTGTATTTATTCTTCGATCTATACTACCTGTATGACTTTTGGTAAGTTTTCACGGAAATATTTTGCCATTCTTCACTAATGGCAGATTCTAATTCTGTTAAATGTAAAGATTCTCTGTAATATTTGCGTTTGCTAAAATTATCTAAAAACCGTTGGTGGGATTACAAGTGAAACTTTTTGCAAGGCATACAATAATAATGATAAAGCATAAATTTTGTGTAAAATAATAATTTATGTGATTCAATTTGGTTAATCATTGTCGCAGTTTAAGCTGGAAATCTGAACTTCAATTTAAAAATATAAATCCACTCATACTCTTTTATTATCAAAACTAACCCTAAATCATAATCTGTCAAAAATTTTAAAAATTTCATATTAATGGATTGGATTTTCCTGTCCTCCTGGTGGTACAAAATTCTACATTGTGATATTTTTTTTACAAACAATTATTTAGTTTTAAATAATTGTTTATAATTTATTAGATATTGAATATTTTATATTTAAATAGAGTTCTTACCCGGTGTTACCACTGTAACATTCTGTGCCCTAATATTTACATATTTTTACCCTTTGTTATTACTTCCGTATATGTATTATTTCTTATTAGTATAGATATCCTTTCTTATAATGTGTTATTATTATCATCCTTATTACTGTATTATTATAATTACCCCCGTATAATTGATTATCATAGTCTTTATTTTACTGTCATACATCAGGTGGTCTTTTAGTTGATGATTGACAGATTTATACTATTCCTATTTTAGCATCCGATAGTCTAATTTCTGTTGCTTCCATTTATGGTATATGATAATTGATAGGGAAAGGCGTTAAGGATTGTTTAGCTAGTCGAGACCTTGATCGTATCATTGATCATTGAAATATCATCGATCATTGAAACTGCGCAAGCTTCATCAATGACTTCAATGATATTGCGCCTTAGATAGATTTCCCCCCAACATTAAAGGAAATTCATTCATGTCTTTTGTCTTGACTGCGGAGCATTCTTAATGTATATAAACACCTCATGTATGCTTTGCTTGTGAGTAGGTTTTGCTTGTAGGTTGGACTTAGAGGTTAGATCTAAAGTATCCCTCCTTTATAAATAAAGGTTTTCGAGTGAATCATATTTATATCGTATTTCGTATTTGTCTGTTATTGAATTGTTGAATCATTGTGAATACATCTTCACAAGTCTTGTTGTTATTACATCCCGATAACCCTATCGTTAAGACAGCTTAACGATCTTATTTATTTATTTATCTATTTCTTTATTTTATCATATAATTATTACAACTACAATTGCTCACCTATTGTTATTGTTGTACCTCTCACGTCCTATATCATCACTATACCCTATCCGATATTCCTTTCGTTCACTATCGCTGATCTAAACTTGGCCACTTACTGACGCTCTCCCGAAATTACGATAGTAACACCGGGTCAGAAAATGCCGACCCGGGCGGGTCAGGGTTTGACCCGGGTCAAACGGAAATTCATAAAGTTTTTGAAATTAATCCTTAAAGACTCATAATTAGAGCTGTTAGAATCTGTACTCCGAATATTTAAACTGGAATTTTTCGGATTTTATGTTGAAAAATTTTTAGACCTTGCTCGCGATTTGAGTTCGTTCATTTTCTACTTCGGAAATACGTGCCTGTTAAGAAGCTGACCCGACGACACGGGTAAAAGCTTTACTATTTATGCAGTATATAACTTATAATATAGGTAAATTGAGTAATATACAGTAGCATTATAGTAGGTTTTTGCGTGTTTTGAATTCTGACCTGTTTGACCCGGGTTAGATTAATTTTCGACCCGTGACCCGTCGAGTCGGGTGACCCGGGTAATAACTCTATATTTAAAATTTGAAAGTTTTAAATATTTTATTTGATTTTATATACCGTATTGTCGCGAAATAACGAACATGGGCGTTATTTAGAAAATTGGGTCCCCTAAAAATTACATATATATAGCCTCAAAATAACGCCCATATTATAGTAAATACCGGTAATAGTATTTTTTAATAAAATAAAATAGTGCTTCGGAAGTAAGTTTGACTACGTAAACCTACTTTCGGCTTCTAATAAAAGTTGTTCTTCAGGCTAAGACGATTCTATTAAGGTTGACTCATCAAAACGGCTTAGTAGATTATTTGCAATGGCTCTTCAAAGTTTTATAATGATTGTTATATAATATGCAACTATATACTGTAATATATATCATATAAACAGAGTGTGTAGTGGTCAAGTTGTTACCTCATAGGCCGACATTCGTCTGATTGGCTGATGTAAATCAAGTAACTTATTTATACACTTTAAAGTACTTTATGAAAACGTAACGTTTCACTAGTAAAAATCACCATAAAAGCCATTTTTCTCTTCGATAGGACGTCTATATTTCTATGCAAAAATAATCAAAAATAATCAGTATTCCCATGAACTTCACTTAGAAGCAAAATTTTCGTTATTTATTGCTATTACTATTTGTATTAGCTATATAGAAGTACTAAATGTGAAAAAGTAGTCAAATAAAAAGAACGATCAAGGTGTTCAAGGTAACTTTAGATTTAAAAAAAAAACTCATACAAGCTATTCACTTATTGTATTTAAGTTTAGAGTACTTCTTTTAATAATCCTAATACTTATATTAGTATAATATGGTTTTAGTATAGATAGAAACGTGTACGTAGTATTAATTAATAATATAGACCAAAGATGGTGGTGCAACGGTTGTAATAGGATTAAGAATTTACATTATTAAAAAAATGAAATTTTTAAGTTTCCTTTGACGAATACAATAATTAGAGAAATTTATTAAGTGGGTATTGCCTAATTGATATCTAACTTGGTTATTACTCTAACTTGGTTATTACTCTAACTTGGTTATTACTCTAACTTGGTTATTACTCTTACTTGGTTATTATTCTAACTTCGTTATTACTCTATTAGGACCCCGGATAATTCTAAAAAAGCTATGATTATTAAACCGGACATTAGGGACACGTAAAATTTTCGAAAGAAATTTTTTAATATGTAATTTTTTCAAATTTCGAAATTCTTTTGGATACAATTTTTATCATGTGATCATAAAATGATTGGCTTTTAATTGTTTAAACATGTGAACTCTGCCAATACTATTATAGTTTCGAAATAAATCGAAATTTTTACTTTTAATCGAAATAAAATTTACGTGTCCCTGCTACCGACACAGCAAAACACGTGACTTATTTTTTTATCGGCACAGCAATGATTGACATGAGCACCCCAAATTTTTGTCATGAATTTGAACGAAGATATCTCGACAAACAGTCAACCAAACCCAATGAACCTTTTTTTATTTTAATTATAACAAAAAAAATTTTATCGAATTTAGTGACTAGTTGTTGAGTTATCTTTATTCAAATTCTTGGAAAATTTAAACCGCCTGTTAAAATGCATTAAACATTGAGCAAAGATAACTTGGAAACTACCTATTCAAATTTGGTAGAGTTTTTTTTTATTTCGATTATACAGTATTGTAAAAAAAAAATTGCTGAATTATCTTTGTCAAAGTTTTATAAAAAAATTTTACTACAGCTATTATTTTGATAGACGTTTTAAATTTTTGTAAAACTTTGAATAAAGATAACTCAGCAATCACACGATCAAATTCAATAGATTTTTTATTTTTATTTTACAGTGCTGTAGAATCGAAATCAAAAATTCTTTGGTTGGTTGCCGAGTCATCTTCACCAAAGCTTTATAAATTTTTTTTCACTATGATTTTGATAAATATTTTGAATTTTCAATAAATTTACCTCAGCAATCACCCAAACAAGTTCGATTAATTTTTTTTGTTATGATTCTACAAATTTGTAGAATTAAAATAAAAAATGCTCATTGAATTTGGTTAGCTGTTTGCTGAGATATATTCACTTAAAGTCATAAATAATTTTAAAATACATGTTAAAAATTTTTGGGGGTATTCATGTTGATCATTGCTGTGTTGATAAGAAGATAAGTTACATGTATTGCTGTGTTGGTAGCAATCCCTATGTTTTTTGATCAAGTAAGTTATATTCATTGGTAGTCTATTATCACATGACAGTAAAAATTACATGGTATGTCACCAAGCCAATTAGATTGCACAATTCAAAAATTTCATGTCTTAAAATAAAAAGAATTCTTGCTAAATTTTACTAAATATAACTTTAAAAAAATTTAGTTACTGTCACCTCTGAAAAGCTTCTAGTTGTTCCACAAAATTTTTTTCACCCTTTATAATAATGACCAATTGAATTTCAGGATCAGGTGTAATGTGAAAATCAAGATGAAGCAAAAAACAGGAATAGCTCTAAATTTTAATTAGGAAACCACCTTATGTGGTCTAATGAAAAATGT